TCCTCCTCCTCCTCCTCCTCCTCCTCCTCCTCCTCCTCCTCCTCCTCCTCCTCCTCCTCCTCCTCTCCGTAGCGCCTGGATCCCGGGTGCACTGGGGGCGCCGTGGTTGGCCCACCGCGTGCCCGCAGGGGAGCCTCTGCACAGCTCGTGAGAGAAGAGGGCAGGTCAGGCGCTCCCGACGCCTCCTGCTCGCTCGCCCTCCTGGAAGTCCAGCACACTGCGTATGCCCGCAAAGTCGGTGTCGAACATCCATCGGAAGAGCCTGAGGAACGTGGCGAACTGGATCGTGTTCTCGTCCGCCTCGCCCCGGCTCCGAGCCTCTGCCAGGAACCGGCTCAGGTCCTGCAGCTTGCTGGAAGGCACCCGGAGACCGATGGACTTCAGCAGGAGCGGCAATGCGGTCTCTGGCATGCTGGGCGCCCTCTTGAGCCGCGCAAGGAGCCTGTCCACACTGTGCCCTTTCCCAGCAGGCTGCTTGCAAGCCGATTCATCATTTGCCTCCTTCTCGGCGAGGTCGGAGAAGACGCGGCGGAGCTCGATGACCTCGCCGTTCGAGAAGCGGGCAAAGGATACCGCCTCCTTTTCACGATCAATGGCTTCCTGCTCCGAGTCACGCACGAAGCCGCGCAACAGGTGCACGAACGTATAGAAGCCGATGTCGGTGGAGCGTTCGCGCGACGCCTCTTCCTCTGGGACTCCAGCGGCAACGGCGGCCTCTGTCGCGAACCGCATGCGCTTCAGCAGATCCTGCCGAGACGCGCTCGTATTCACAGGGATCCCGTGGGAGCCAGTGAACATCCAAATGAGCTCGCCGACAGCGGCAAACTGTCTCTGAGAACCGCCGCGATTCCAGACCTGCGCAATCTCTGCTATGGTGCTTTCTTGGAAGCCCGCACGCATCCGGAACTCGAGGTTCATGCGCAAGCGGCATCGGTCGTTGATGCGCATGAAGGATGTGAAGCACAACTCTGCTGGCATGTCTTGCAAGAGCTCGGCGACCACGCTATCCTGTGGGAAGAGCTGCAGCTTGGCCAGGGCGTCCTTGACAGACCCAGCGGGCATCCGGCCACTGGGGCTGCGCAGCTTGTCGAAGGACTTGCGGGCGCCCCGGACGTCTTGCTCGCGCATGGACCTCATCAACCTCAAGAACTCATGCTGGTCCATTGACCCGTTCTTGTTGAAGTCGACCCGCTTGATCAGGGAGCTCACCTCGTCGATGCTGGTGGTGTTCCCGAGGTGCCGAAGCAGTTCGAGCACCTGCAGGTGCGTCAGCTCGCCCGTCCCGTGGTAATTGAACTTCTGGAACGCGGCGCCGAACTCCTCCCGCTCGGAGCGCGAGAAGCCGTGCATGCTCCGCGCCGCGCACATGAACCGCACCACCGTGTCAAAGGTCAGGGCGCTGTCCTTCTGCAGGTCGAGGTCCGACAGGAGCTCATCTACGGCGTCGGTGAGCAGGGTGATGCCGAACTTCGCCGCGATGCTGATGGCGGTGTCCAGCGGGATCAGGCCCGAGCCGCTGGTGTCCAGGTCCTTGAAGCACGTCCACAGGTCCCGCATCATGGGGTCGCGCAGCTGGCGCGCCCAGATCAGAAACTCGTGGAAGCAGACGCCCGGCTGCTCGGCGGAGTCGGAGGACAAGACGTCCGCCAGCGAGCCCATGTAGTCCACGCTGTAGAGGCCCGTGAACTTGAGCAGGCCTTCCAGCAGCATGGAAGCCCTTGCCACGGGGCCCCAGCCGCTCGCAGGGTCACGCTGCCCCTGCTTCAGCTGGCCGAAGACCCGGTGCGCGGCTGCTACCTCCTCCTTGGTGAAGCCCTCGTCCACCCTGCAGGAGGCCAGGGTCAGCAGGAGGTCGTTGGTGCTCATGTCCTCCGGCCTCACGTGGCCCAGCTGCGCCGCCTGCCGCGCGCTCTCCACGCTGCTGTAAGGCAGGCACACGCCGGCGGAGCGCAGGAACCGCTGAGTCTGCTCGAGAGCCGCCGCGGCGCCGGCCTGGCCGGAGCGCTCCGCCACGCAGGCGTCCGCGCTCCGGCGCACGGCGTCGCGCTCCAGGGCGGCGAACCTGCTCACGTACTCGCAGAAGTCCATGTAGTCGAGGTTGTGGAACTTGGACAGCTCCGTGGCCAGGCCCAGGGCTTGCTCCCGAGTGCTGGTCAGGAAGCCCACGTGCACGAGGGCGTCGTGCAGGCGATCGCGCGCAATCTCGTTGGTCCCAGGGCTCGCGAAGCGCTTGAATGCCAAGAGCGTGAACCTCTCGTGCACCTCCGCCCCCTCGTCCGCACAGCGAGAGTAGATCTCGAGCAGCGTGGCTCCGAGAGGCACCTGCACCTCCAGGACGGCGGGCGCCACCTGGCCGTCGTCGCTCGCAGACGTGGACGAGCACTCCTCGAAGGCCTCCAGGGACCCGAGCGTGGTGGGGCTCAGCCCGTCGTAGGGCCCCTCGCCCGGGTCGGCGCCGAGGCCCTCCTCCTGGAGAGGCTTCGCCCTCGCCGCCGGCCTGCCCGCACCGCCCGGGGTGGCGCGGCGCGGGGGCGGGCCCGCGAGGTCGGAGCTGCGCTCCGCGCGCGGCTCCGGGCGCGGCACGCGCCGCACGGGCTCCGACCAGGAGCCGCGCCGCGGCGGCTGCCGCGGCGGCTGCAGGTCCTCGGCCCCCTCCGGGCGCTGCGGCCGCGCCGCCTGCATGGCGCCCGCCTGCTGCAGCGCCCCGAGGCTGCGGCGGCGCCCCGCCTCGGAGAGGCTCCTCCCGGCCGGGGACTGCGGCGCCGCGGGGGCCTCGTGCACGGACCTCCTCCGGGAGGTGCTCGCGGGCGGCTGCTGCAGCGCCCCGACGGAGGAGAGCCGGGGCAAGAGCGTCGTGGAGGCCCTCCTCGACGAGCGCGCGAGGGCGCCGGGGCCGCCGCAGGCCGAGGCCTCCCCGCCGCCGCCGCCCGGGGGCTCCAGCGGGCTCCTGGAGAGCGCCCCGAGCCTTTCCAGCCGGGCCGGGAGGCCCGAGAGGCTCACAGAGGAGTCGCGCGGGAGCTGACTCGAAGCACCCCAGGACCTTGCCGCGCTCGGAGAGAGGGGCGGCGCGGACCAGAAGGTGGCGTCGGTGCTGCGCGACGACGCGGCGTCGGGCGACCGCGGTGTCATCGCAGCAGCCTCTGCGCTTCGCACGTGCACTCGACAGGGAACTGGAAGCGATCTGGAAACAAAAGCGCTTGAGCCCCCATGGGTACGGCCCTGGGCTTTACAGCGATGCTTCAATGATCACCCTCGTCGCCTGTTCTCACGACAACTCGCCAAGACGTGTCTATGGATGGCGCTGGCGGGAGCAAAGGGGGCCTTTTTGCGGGGGGCTACTTGGACGGACCCGTCATTTGATCTAGATGGTGCCCAGTTATTCCACTTCTCCTCGCTTAATGCATCGCCGCAGCTTGCTCAGGAGTAGTCGTTTGCTTTCCTTCTTGACAGCACACACCTGTTTCTCAAATGGGGCTTCGCCTCAGGGGTCCCACGTGTTCTGGGCCTACCGCAAGCGGACTTATGCTGGTCTGCGAGGCTGGCTTAATGACGCTCGGATCCTGGCTCCTCATGCACATGCAAGATCTGCATCAGAATTTCAGTTGCACCATGATTTGCACGAGCACGAGCACAGCGCTGATCCCATAGGCTAAGACTGCACAGCACAGAGCCAAGCACAGCGCATTGCAGGGCGTACGAAATACGCTGGCCACCTCGTGGGGCCATCAGGCTGCTGTGCTGAGGCTTCCTGCAGCGTGCGCTCCGGTTCCAGTTTCCAGTCTCCAGTGCTACTCTGTAATTCTACCTTCTGCTCCCAACTGTAACCTGTTGCTGTCCGCGCGAGGGGGGGCCGAAAACCAACCGTTCAGGGTCCCCGAATCGCGTTGCCTGAGCTTCTGGTTGGTCTGGGGCACGTCAGAGTACCTGAGATTCGCGCCCCCGAGGCAATATCGCGTGCTCGAGGCCAGAGTCGTCACAGAGTACCCGGATCTTTCGCTAACGAGACCCGAATCTCTGCAAACAAATCATCCTGGCGAGGGACCCAACCATGTGCAGCTGTGAGTAACGCAGTTGTGGGTATCGAACTCGGTGAACTCTCTGGGGTCACGAAGAGTGTGACGGCTGCCACCGGAGCCGTCGGTGGAGCCCCATGTGCCATGTGAGGCCACAGAACGTGTGTGGAACCGCGTGCGAACGCTGCCACTACTAGGGCCTTCGGTGGAGCTCCCTATGGGGCCACGAAACGTGTGCGGGGTGCGCCGACATGGAGGTGGAACTGCATGCGGTCCCTGCCACTGGGGCCTTCGATGGAGCTCCCTCTGGGACCACGAAACGTGTGAGGGGTGCGCCGGATTGGGGATGGAACTGCATGCGGACCCTGCCTCTGGGGCCTTCGGAGAAGAACCCTATGGGGCAACAAAACGTGTGAGGGGTGCGCCGAACTGGGGATGGAACTGCATGCGGTGGAGCTTCCTATGGGGCCACGAAACGTGTGAAGGGTGCGCCGGAGTGGGGATGCAACTGCATGCGGACCCTGCCACTGGGGCTTTCGGCGGAGCACCCTATGGGGCCACGAAGCGTGTGAGGGGTGCGACGAAATGGGGATGGAAATACATGCGGACCCTGCCACTGGGGCCTTCGGTGGAGCTCCCTATGGGGCCACGAAGCGTGTGAAGGGTGCGCCGAAATGCGGGTGGAACTG